ACACACACACACACACAGTCTCAGCCTATCAGCAGAGAAGGAGTTTGGGGATTTTAAAAACATGAAAACCTTTCAGGGCTATTGAATTCCACTTAATTCAACATACTTGAAGCAGTCTCTTGTATTTAGTTGTCTGGACGCTCGGTTCTCTGGTCGAGGGGTCGGAGCCCCGCTTTTCTTTCAGTGTGACCATTAAAGGGGGTCGGTGTAGAGGCGGGTTGGCTGCTGAAGCAACAGTCAGAGATCTTAGGGAGTTTTCAGAGAGCCAGTGACAACGACCTGGAGTCAGTTAACGGATTAACGGGGACTCAAATGTGAAGATTTACGGTTTTATGTCATAATAAATCAAACAAATCTTGGTTTTGAACTATTTTCAGGACCAAAAAAATTAATCTTTTTACTGGATACAGCAGAGAAACAGAATCAATCAATACAGAATCAATATTCATGTATCAGAAACTGATAAAAACCAGTATTTTGGGCAAAGAGTAAGTAAGTAATAAAACTTCAGTTATGTTCCGGTATAATTAATGGATTATTAGTCTATGAAAAGAGAAAAAGGTGTAACATGTTTCTGCTATTCTACAGACTAATCCATTAATCTATTATCATTAATTGATTCGTAATAAAATAAATGATCAGTTGCAGCCCGAGAAGCATTAAAGAGTAAAACCAGCCTGGTTATTATCCAGTAAAAGAGACTCCTGAATGTTTCCTGACGTCTCTGACTGATTATTGATGAGGGGATACTGTTGTCTTATTTACAATCATTCCTTCTGTTACGATTCCTAATGATTCTCATGGATTCAGTTTGCTTTGTTGTTTTTTTTTTAGAGTTTGGGGAGAAAAGAGCTCGTAACCTTCCAGATGTGTTAACCATCAGATATCGTCTGTATATATTTTCCTTTGCGGAGCCACTTTTCTGTCTCGTTGGGATATCTGGAAACAAACTGGACCCAAAACAACAACTCACAGACATTTATTTGGCTGTAAATTTAAAAAAGTGTTTGTCTTGTGTGGTTTTCTGTTTGGTATTCTCTAGAGCAGCGGTGCCCAACCTGGGAGACAGGACCCCCACTAGGGGTCGCCAAAGCTCCATAGAGGGGTCGAGGCCTTCTTGATTTTAAGGGTTGTAAGAAGAGTAAAAATAAACCCAGCTGGCCTGTAAGTCAGTAATTTATTAATTTAGTTGAAGTTAAATTGTTATTTAAGACAGAAGGTTCTTAAATAATAACGTAATAATTTAAGAAAACTTAAAGAATATACACAGTTGGCCTGTATCTCAGCATTTCATTCATTTCTATAAGAAATACTAAAAGAAATTGTTCTTTTTAAAGTTCAGATTTTAAGTTTAAAGTCTAAAAGATCTGATAATAATATAAGATATCTATAAAATATGTGACTTGATGATAAAAATGGGTCCCTCAAGGCTGTAGTTCCCAACCTTTTTACTTAATATTACAATATTATATCATTTATTAAACTGAGTGACATATTTTATGTATATTTCATATTATATTAAAAACATTGAATCCAAACAGTGAACTCAGTAACTGAAGGAAGTTTGTGTAAAACCAGAGATTTGGATGAATTTTGAGCAGATTATTTTCCTGTTTAGGGAATTTTTGAATCTGTATTATTTATTTTTTTATGCTTTTTAACAACCGTACACTTAATAAGCTTCTTTTTTGACACATTCACTGAGATATAGGCCTACTTGTAAGCCAAAATAAGTCCTTGTTACCCCTTGTGATTGAATTCTGGCTACACAAACGGACACTTCTTCTTTAACGGAGTCCTGAGACGTTAAATGTTATAATTGTGGGATAATATAGTTTTAATCTGGGGAAGTTAAAGGGATTTAATGTTTACATGCAGCAACCTTATAAAACAACATACAAACACTGAGGCTACGTGACAGTGTATGCAGCTGCTGCCTCTGTGTGTGTCTGTCTGTGTGTGTTTGTAATGACTCACTGTTGGTTCAAGCACAATGAGAGCAGGTAACCGCTCTGCAGGTGAATCACCTGGAATGACCTCAAAGTATTTAAGAAGTCGAGGCCTTTAAATGCTAAAATATCGTCACTGAGAGTCAACAAGTGCTGCAGTGGTTCTTAATCGAATGTCCAGTTTTTCTGATTTAGCCATTTTTTTAATTGAACCATTTCCACAAAGTACAAACGAATCGATGTGTTTAATGACATATCTGCTTTATTTGCTGCTTCACTGACGGTCAGACACTTTGGTTTTTGATTTTTCTTCTCGTATCAAAGATTGTGCTGACTGGTTGTCGTTGTCTTTGTCGCACTGGGAGAACCAGTCGTTAAGTGCTACGGTGGATTTACAAGCTTAAAAACTTGAAGGAGGGAATGATTTATTTTAATGAGTGAATGAATGTTTCAGCAGTCAATAAAAAACTGGTTGACAATTTTTAGAGGCTCTGTTGTTCTTTTTTTTTTGTTTGCAAACCTTTAATGTACCAAAAAATCTATGGAAGCCCATTTATGATAAGATTCAAAAAGAAAAGAAGATGTAAAGTTAGGTAGGATGCAATAAAAATACACTAATATTGAGTTATTTAGTCAAATAGGTTGTTAAAATTATGATATATTAAGTCCAACTTTTGATTTAATGAGTTAAAATGATGATACCAAGTCAACATTTTGACCAGATCAATTAAAAACGAGGTATTAGATAAAAACATTTACTCAAATTTAATTAAATAAATCAACATTTTGACTAAAACTATGAAATAAAAGTGAAACATTTGACTTCCTAAATGGGAATTATAAGATCCTTTATTTATAAATATATACTAATAATTAATAATACATCAACATTTTGCATTAATAAAGTTAAAGTTTTGAGCCACTCAATAAATTATTACATTAAATATATTATATTAAATTATAAGAGAAATTGAAATGAAGAAATATTGAGAGTTGGTAGTTTTCTGAAGAATTACGAAGCCAGAGTGATGAATCAAATTCCTTTATTCAAGTTTTGAGATTACAAGTCAACATTTTTTATTTACTAGGTTAAATTTATGAGATACTTATGATTGATAACTTCATACACATATTTGTTTTATTTTTGGCCTTAATGAGCTTCCATACGAACTTTACTATGTCACTTTTTGAGACTTAATGTTCTAATAATTTCTGGTACTTTGATTTAACTTAAGATTACTTATTAACGATAATGATGATAAATGTTAATATGAAGAACCAGTTTAATTAATGATTAATCTCATAGTATCTTAAAATCTGATGAGTAACAATGACTTGAATCAGTCGGTTATTGGGTAATATTGCTCCTCAAGTTTACCAAATTACAGTACAAATTTTGATTTAATGAGTTAAAATTATGATACAAAGTCAACATTTTGACCAGATGAGTCAAAAACAAAAGATGTTAAGTAAGAAATCTAACTTAAATGTATTAAATAAGTCAACATTTTGACTAAAACTAAAGATATAAGTGAAACATTTGCTTTTCTCAATGGGAATGGTGAGATATTAAGTAAAAAAGTTTAACTTTATTAAGTGAAATTATAATAAATAAACATTTTGACTTAATAAATTGCAATTATAAGATACAAATTCAATGTTTTATTCCATTAAGTTAAAGTGCACACAGCTCAGATACTTCAGGACTGGACTGCAGATGATGTGCTGACCTCCAGAGTCCTCAGTACTGCGGACAGAAGGGGCAAACATACAGCTGCCGGACTAAATATACAAATAAAAACACATTAATAATAAACAAACATTAAATAAATGAAGATTTACTTGACACTTTTTTATTAGTTTTGCCTAAATAATGAAGAAAACAGCCCCAAATGTAGCAAAATACAGCTTATTAATTGCTATTAAATAAAGAAATATCCCAAAATAAACAAAATCATCACGTTTAAGTTGGTTTAATATTCATATCTCCCACTTACATTTAATGCATGATCACTATGAGTAGGCAGAAGGAGTATTATTCCATTATTCGTAGGCTAATTATCTTTATCTTAATCTTTTTCTCTATGTTTGTTTTGTTATTACATTTTTTTTGCCAGCCCCCCTCCACTGTGTTCTCCCAGAGCCATTAAGATCTTAGATTAAGATATAACTTTACAGTGATGTGTGAATGTCTCTGGGTGTTTGCCATACAAGGCTTTAAGCGCCACATGGTTTGGGTCACGTGCTTTGGGGCTGCGTGTAGGCTCTCGCGGCTGTCGGTGGTGCTGTCAGTCGGTGCAGGTGAGGCTGGTGCAGGTGATCATGGCTGAGGATGTGACTGTGTCGGAGGAGACTTTAACGAGTGCTCTGAGTCAGTTGGTGAACTTGGGGAGGATCCTTCTGCAGAAAGCCCGACAGGAAGCTGCAGGTAGGAGCAGATTCAGACTCATCGTGGCGAACTCCGTTTAAAAATGTGAAGTTTTTATTTGTGTTTTCGTTGCAGAGAAAAGTAGACACCACGCAGAGAACTACTTTTGTGTTATGTGAATTGGTGTGGTGTTAATAAGTAATTCGGCACACAGAAGATATAAATAACTCTTTATTTTATGCTTTTATAATGTTGCACATTACTGCTTTAAGAGCGTATTTAAACAGGAAACGACTTTTGTAAACTAATAAACTCGGTCAACGCTAAAAGCCGAAATCTGGCTCCAATTCCTGTTTCTAAATAGATTATATGTGTGCCGAATTAAAGAGTAGGTCAGAGTAATTCCATTATAATGTTTATTATAGTTTAATAACTCATCTATTGTTCCCAATACGCACAGAATCATAAAAAAGCGGGGATTTTAAACGAAGTCCGTCGTTTTCATTTTTACAACTTGAAGAAAAAATGTAAAATCTAGTTGAATTAAATCAAATTACGTACTTTAAAGCTACAGCTGCATCTGTTATCACTCTGTTCACTCATTTCAGTGTGTGTTAAGGTGGACCACATTTGTTTTACCATATAATTAATAATATAACTATAATTCACAAGTCTCTCCCTTTGAATATTTCATAAGCTGGCAGCAGCACATGCTTCTAAAGCAGATCCGTGTGATCAAGTCACTAGATTTAGAGGCCCTCTGGCAGTAAAGCTGGTGTAATGTAATCCCTGTCATGCTTATAATGCCAAATACAATGACATGGCACAAATCAGCCAATAACTGTGCTCCTTTGTTCCCACACAGAATCCCTGGAGACGTTTGTCCCACATAAGATCACCACTTTATTCGGCCTGATCACAGCCGGGGCACAGCTCTACAAAAGGTTAACACCCGCAGAATCACGCAATCAATTATAGCTACAAGTACAATTACAGTAAATCCTCTTATTGTGTGTTATTTCTTTGTTGTTGTTGTTTATTGTTGAGCAGCCTTGGAGTGAAGAAGAAGACTGAAGCAGAGGCTGTGTGGCAGAAGTATTATCAGTAAGTGTCAGACTTATAACAGTGATAATAATAAATAAAACATGTATATCTTATTCCTATATTGTTAAACGTATGGGAGAATGTACTTCATGTGTTATAGTGCAGCTGTAACTTACAGGTCGCAGCAAGAACAACATGTAAACTGAGTTCTGTAGAGTTCAAGCAGGTTTTCTTTAATTCCAGTGGACGGTAACCTTTCATAAAAGGTTTATTGTGGTTTATTCTTCTATCTGGAGCTCATTGAATATAAAAAAAAGCATTGTATTGTCTTCATGTACCGAAGGCTTTGATTACTGGGCACAAAATGATGTAATAAAAACAGAACTAAAAAATAAAAAAGATATGACAACAACTTTGTTTCCTTTTCAAACTAAAATTCAGTAAAATAGTTGTATAAACACTATATAATACATACTCTTTAAATGTTGTATATTACTGCTTTGAGTGTGTATTTAAACAGGAAACGACTGTTTGGAACTAATCTACTCAAACTAAAACCAAAACCTCCAATTCGAGTTCTTAACGATGACGGAATATGTGAAGGAATCAGAATTTAAACTATTTTTAGTGTGCAAACTGAAAAAGAGTTAAAACAGAACAAAAAAATAAAAAAAATATGACAACAACTTTAAATAAAATACTTTAAAATAGTTGTATAAACACTGCAAACTGACTGTAAAATACAGATGTGCCACAGAGTGAGTTGTGGGTTATAAACAGTGTTATAAACTGTTATAAGAAGGGTTCCTCATCTCAGTACAGCGGTTTTAAATGACCATTGCCTCCATTTGTTCTGTAAAATTCAGCTTTTTTCAGAGTTGTAGTAACGTGGGCAGAGTTGTTCTTTCTTTAACCTTATTTATTATAACGGTTATTTATTTTATTGATCTCTCTTTGTAAGTTTTAGGTCCTTTATTCTTTATCATGTGGGTATAAATAACCTTGATTGAACCTGCCCTGCACTTCCGTCAGCATTTGAACTGTTTCAATGTTTTTATTATAGGGATGAACTATAAGTTAATTAAGGTTAAAGATTGGAGAACACACATATAAACCTCCGTCCATCCCCCTCACACTCTTTGCTCAGTGAGATTCCTGCTGATAGTTCCAGTTCTGGAAATGAAAGCTCAGCGTTGGCGGCGTTTTATAACACAGCGTTTGTATTTTTGCAGCCATGCAGCCGTGAGAGAGCAGGTGGAGGAACTTCTGGAGCTGGAGGTTTGGATGTTTTGGTTGCTTTTTGCCTTTTTTACATTTTTGATTTTGTATATTATGACGTAAATTCAGCTTTAGTATCTTCACACAGTCAACAGTCACATTTATAGACAAACACTACATACAGTGAAGTCCACATGTAGACTGTGTGCTGTGGTTTGATTCAGACTTAAACCTACTATAAAGAGTTTTAACTGGTTATGAAACAGTCTCCACTTAATACTGATGCCTTAATATGACCGACATTAACAAACAAGACCTTCAGTGCAAAGATGGATTTAAATAAAATTAGCAATACCAAAAATATTGCTTCAATTTTACTTAAAAGAACAGAATATACTTTAATTACCAAAAGTAAAAGTACACATTTCAGAATAATATTCATTATATTATT